CATCAGTTTTTGCCCTGCTCAGAGTTTGGACATACAGAAGCTTCTTTGTAGTTACAGAATCTGTATAACTCATCTCCAGAATTGTAGGGATATGGTTTGTGTTAGTGGGTACAAGTTCTTTCTCTGCAGCACTGCAGCAGCTATTCTTGACTAAGCCTTTTTTTTTTGGAGACAGAGTCTTACTCTGTCATCAGGCTGGTGGAGCATGATGGTGTGATCTCAACTCACTGCAACCTCCACCTCCTGGGTTCAAGAAATTCTTATGCCTCAGCCTCCTGAGTAACTGGGATTACAGGTGTGCACCACCATGCCTGGCTAATTTTTGTATTTTTAGTAGAGACAGGATTTCACCATATTGGCCAGGCTAGTCTCGAACTCCTGACCTCAGGTGATTCACCTGTCTTGGCCTCCCAAAGTGCTGGGATTACAGTCATGAGGATTTAGCCATTTTTGATAGAGCTATTGTCTGATTAAAATTTTGAGAACTGTATTTGAAAGATGGTTAAAGCAACATAAAGCATGATTTACACCTATCAGATGCCCATGAATCTTTGTTGAATTGTTTTTCTGTTCTCCAGAATAATCTGATTTCTTTGAAGTTGGGGCATTTCCCCACAAAAAGTAAATGTGGGCACCACCTGCCATCTCAACCCATAGGTCTGGTTCGTGAGAATATTTGTAGGACTCCTGGGTTTCCCCCCTACAGCTTCAAGTTCATTGTTTTCAGATGCCTTATTCTGTGTGTTTAGAAAAAAGAGTCAAACATTGAGAGCCACTGGGTATCTGACAGGGTATCTTTCAGAGCTCCTTAATTCTAAAAAGAAAATTATTTTGATTTGAGAAAATGCAGTAACTTCAAAAATTCCCACCACCCAGCCATGTGACTGCATTTTCAAAAAAGGAAAGGAACAGAGAGGAAAATCAACTCTTCCCTCCTTACTTACGTGTGGATCATGCCTGCTCATAGTGGTGGGTGGAGGAAGTGGTACGTAGTGGAATGCTGTGTCCTCCAGAGCGCTCAGCCCGGAATCTGGCTATAAAGATCTCGTCCCAGTTCCCGAGCCGATGAGATAGAAGCTGGTCAATGAAATCTTCTCTTTGTGTTAATTTTTCTTCTTTTGCTTTATGTAGTTATAAAGTGTAATTTCTGTTTTGCCAGTCTCTGACATATGGACTCTGTCAGGGTTACTGGATGTGTTTATTTTGTCTCTGCTGCTCTATTGGAGCTGAAATCTCAGCCTGTCTGAGCAGTTCTTTAAGCTGACAGAAAGCCAAGTTATAGGGGCTAGATTCGTGTAGAACAGCTGTTTTCAAAGTGTGCTATGCAGAACCCTGGGGGTGACTTTCAGGAGGCTTGCTAGGTCGAAACCATTTTTACAGTAATGTTAAGATGTTATTTTTCTTTTTCTCTGTTTTGATATTTGTAGTGATGGTGCAAAAGCAGTGGTGGTGGGGGAGTGGTAAACTGTTGGTGCCTTAACTCAAGTGAGTGACACAAACTGTGCTGGTATTCATTGTATTCTTCACTGCCACCCACTTGCAGTTTTTTAAAGTCAGTTTTACTTAAGAATATCTTTGATGAAGCAGTAAAAATTATCAGTCGCATTAAATCTTGACTCTGAGTACATGCTGTTTTGATATTCTGTGTCCTGAAGTGGGACAGTTGCAGAAGGCACCCCTGTTGCGTACTGAAGGCCCATGGAGCCCTGGAGGAAAAGCATTTGTGCTATTTGAGTGCCAAGATCAATTAGCTGCCTGTTTTTCCCCCGAACATCCTTTTCTTCAGAAGAATGACTAATTGCCAAATGATGGCTATTCAAACTTGAAGACATTTTCTCAAAAACAAATGAAGTGAGCTTGTCAGTTCAAGGGAACCAACTCATGGTGTTTATCGTCACAAACTTTTAAGCCAAAATTTTGAATTTTGGAAAATCTGTGTCTGCCATTGTGAGCTTCATAGTATTCATAGTTTCCTGATGAAGCTGGTTATGCTTTAATGAAATGTGATTTATGATTGTGTGTGATGAAATGTGTTCACATTTGGAAGATCTGCTGAACTTAGCGAGCCAACATTTTATAAAATCTTGCATGGGTAAAAGATTCATCCAAAGTACAAGACAGATCAGCCTATTTTAATGTAACTGATACAGCCTCAGATTGTATATTGCAATTAACTCTTTTTTTTTTTTTTTTGAGACAGAGTTTCGCTCTTGTTACCCAGGCTGGAGTGCAATGGCACGATCTCGGCTCACCGCAACCTCCGCCTCCCGGGTTCAGGCAATTCTCCTGCCTCAGCCTCCTGAGTAGCTGGGATTGCAGGCATGCGCCACCATGCCCAGCTACTTTTTTTTTTTTTTTTTTTTTGAGACGGAGTTTCGCTCTTGTTACCCAGGCTGGAGTGCAATGGCACGATCTCGGCTCACCGCAACCTCCGCCTCCCGGGTTCAGGCAATTCTCCTGCCTCAGCCTCCTGAGTAGCTGGGATTACAGGCACGTGCCACCATGCCCAGCTGATTTTTTGTATTTTTAGTAGAGGCAGGGTTTCACCATGTTGACCAGGATGGTCTCGATCTCTTGACCTCGTGATCCACCCGCCTCGGCCTCCCACAGTGCTGGGATTACAGGCTTGAGCCACCGCGCCCGGCCTTGCAATTAACTCTTAAGAGACAACCACTTGTCAAGTTTTTTGGTGTAGTATCAATGAAGAATATCCATGATTTTCTAAAGAAGCTATTATAATATTCCTCCATTTTTAAATCATGAGTCTGTGTGAGGCCCATATTTTCTTCACATACCAACTAAAGCAACATATTGCAACAGATTGTGTAGAAGTAGATATGAAATCTAGCTGTTTTCATTAAACCAGACATTAAAATAATTTGTAAAAATATAAAACCGTGCCAGTCTTCTCATTGTTTTTGAAAATATAATCATTTTTCATATAACGTCATTTATGTTAGCATATAATTTATTATTTTAAAATGATTTACAAAGTATTTTTAAAATTTGTTTTAATTTCCAATATGTTAAATATCAACAGATACAACCGGTGATACGCACAGCTGGCTTGTACCAGTGAAAGCCAATTGTATAATCTTTATCCAGCTTTGTGTTCAGTGTCATCCATTGGCAGCTTGAAATCAGCCATAGTAGGAGTATTTATATTACAGAAATCAGCAAACGCTACAAGACAGGGTTCCTCCTTCTTAAGATCTAGTTATTAAGTGTTTAACAGCCTCTGCTGAATGTAAATCACAGAACAAAAGCTCTTTGAGGTCATCAGTAATTCTTAAGAGTGCAGAGTTGCCCTGAGACTGAAATATTTAAGAATTGGTTGTGTGGAGAAAGAGCTATCTTTTAGAAATTAGTCACCACAGAGATGGTTGCCTTTCTATAATTCATAGAGTTGCCTTTTGTGCTGGAAACATTTGTAGAATAAATCCAGTGTTTTGAAATTTGTATTGTTAAATCTACTGGTTCCATCATGGGACAATGTTTTTCTTTTCCCTGGAATCTAAAGTGGATGACAATAGTCTGGGGGTAGGCAAGCTGAATTTTCCCCGTGGGCTACATATTGGTTGCCTCTGCCCTGGTTTCTCACTATCTGTCCAGCCGTTATCTAGGTTTAGATCAAGGCCTCCCTCAAGCTCTGGAATCTACACAAAGCCTTCACTTACTTACTGTTTGGGCCCATACTGATCTTTCTATTCTGTATTCCTGTGTTACCCACGGCCTCTAAAATGGAGCAAGCAGTTCTATACTATTTGGTGTGCCATTGTTTCTTAGGTGCTAGTTTTATTAATTCTACTTTCTCCTAGTGCACCTAGTACAATGCTCAACACCTAGGGTCTCTTACACGGATAAAGCATGTTTTAACTTTTGGATTGCCAGAGAAGTTTTCCAAGGGAATGATGATATAAATAAATCTCAGTTATTTGTTATAAACCTAGTTTTTAATAATTCTTTTCAGGTTTTAATATAAGTTGGAAATCATTGGTTTTCCTTAAAGTGAAGTCACATACAAAGACTTCCTTGAAAATTGTTTTAGATCCTGTGGTTCTATTCCCACTCATGATAGAAACTGGTGACTTAATATATTTCCAAGGTCTTTGACTCTTGAGTAAGTTATAATGAATAGTGAATCTTAATAAAATGAGGCAAAGTTTCTGAAATTCTGCTGGCCTATAGGATGGAGTTGTTTACTAATTAGAAAACCTGGCAGGTTTTGAGTCCAGAGGAGTGGTGGTATCGTGTTTTCTGGTAGGGATCTCTGTTGAAGGAACTCAGGGAAGTAGTGAGGAGATGGTTGTTGTCGCTGATTTCTGCCCAAAGCTAAGTGATAGTTCTGGCCTCTTTGGATGCTTGAGCTGGGAGAGGAAAAGTGTCCAGAGGCCTCACCAGCCTTCAAGGCATGAGCTTTCTCTGGGTCAGAGACACCAAGGAATTAAAAGGTCCTGGAATTTCTTTGGCCTGTGCCTTTTTAGTGATTATGAGGGCATACCAGTGACTGATTTTTATCAGTCTAGAGACAAAGCATCAGCTCACATCTAGAGTAATACTAGAATATCATATGTCACACATTTAATAAAAATCATTCACCATATTTTAAGTTCTATCTCCAATTTCCCTGAAGAAGTTAGAGAGGGGAGTTTATACTCTGGCATAAGAAAGGCTTCACTGTTAGTAGGCGTGAGGTCGTAGTGAGGTAGTTTAACTGCTTTAGAACTTTGTGGTTGGAACATTCTTAGCCACTCAAGTATGGGCACCAAAGGTAATAAGGAGCGTGTGTTCTTTAATAATCCGTCACATCAGAAAATGACTGTTCCAGGACAGTAACCGCCTCCTAATGGTAAGTACCCCAGCTGGCTTGTCATTTCTCAGGAACAGGAAAAAGAGAAGTAAGTAGGCCAGCCATAATAGTGAATGGTATTGCTTAAAAATAAGCAAAAACAATAACAAAAAGGTCCAGCTTTAATCCTCAATGATGATCATTTTTGCAGGTTTCTGTAGCTGGATCAGGCACCGGAAGAGGCTCTCCAGCTGTAACTTTAGTGCAGTTACCTTCGGGCCAAACTGTACATGTCCAGGGAGTAATTCAGACACCACAGCCATCGGTTATTCAGTCACCACAAATACACACTGTTCAGGTTAGCTTCCTTCCTGGGTGATTTGTCTTTGACTTTTTTGAGCCTTTTTTTTCCTCTTTCACTAATTCATTTATCATTTTTCTTTGTGAAGCTTTTATGCTCAAATCTTTTGGTTAGATATTTGGAGGAATCTCTTTTCCTTGCGTAAGGTGCCCTGTGTCCTGCTAGGTATGTAGGTTTCATTTCAGAGCTGCAGCTTAGTTGTCAGCTCTTAATTTGGAGACTGAGTAATTGCCAGATGAGCAGTTCATGTCTTCTTCACATTGCTGTTCTGTGTTCAGAGTCAGATTTATTTAGTAATGCTCCCCAAAGGTGCTTAAAAATATTTGAGGGTTCCTCAGAGAAGATGTCGATAAACACAGTAATAAACAGATTATAGTGCTGGCTGGGCATGGTGGCTCACGCCTGTCATCCCAGCACTTTGGGAGGCTGAGGCGGGTGGATCATGAGGTCAGGAATTCAAGACCAGCCTGGCTAACATGGTGAAACATCATCTCTATTAAAAAAAAAAAAAAAAAGATTATAGTGCTGATGCTGTTTTCATGAATAGTCACCTTAGTAGGTAGACAGAAATTTATTTTAAATTCAGTATACATAATTCTTAGTAAGATGATATTATTGATGTATCCCTCTGAGATTAAACTTTGGCATTTGTAGATACGATTATTATTGTTGTCGTGATCCAGAGATGTATTTTACTATTAACATTTCTTGAAGGTAAAACATTTTTTCCATCAATAGATGTAAATTATTAAGTATGTATTTTTTAAAGCATACTTATCTTAATTACTGAATTTATTTCTGTTCCTTTTTAAGGTCAGTTTGTTATCCTTTAAATACTTAAATTATTTGAAACTAATTGATGACAAAAAAAAAATCTGTGAGGAAAATGGAGACACACATACATAGTGTAGTTCTTTTTCTGTGTGTTCAAGTCGTTTATCACAGAAGAAGGATGAGAGTTGCAACAAGATTCCTGACATGACATTCACATACGTTAAAAGCTTGATTATCTTTGTGGCATGGGTGTCTTCTCCTGTGTTGCCCAAAAGTGTAAGAATAATTCTCATCATTTTCTTTTTTTTTCCTATGATGACCCCTGATTCCAAGAGTTTCTAACTCTGTCTCTTACTAATTATAAAACAAGAAAGTTTTTCCAGCCTCTTTCTTTGTTTTATGACTTTTATTAGGGTACACATTTCTATTTAGTTTCAACCTGGCTGGTATTGGAAGAAAGTATTGTCTGTTATTATTTATTATTATTATTATTTAATAGAGACAGAATTCTCAGTATGTTGCCCAGGTTGGTCTTGAACCCCTGGCCTCAAGTGATCCTCTTGCCTCAGTCTTCCAAATTGCTGGGATTACAGGTGTGAGCCACAGCACCCGGCTGAAAGAATTATCATCTTATGTTCAGGAGACTTTGTTTGGGTTTTGTTAAGTGAATGATTTAATAGTCTTGTGGAGAGAGGTGCTAGTGGATCTTGGTCCTAGAATACTTACTGTTGGATCATGGTCAAACCACTTAATCTCTCTGCATGAGCTTTAATTTTCACCTTTCTAAACTAGGTAAATTAATAGCGTACCTCACCTAAGGGAGCTGTTACGATTCTGTGACAGATGAGTGAGAGCCCACTGTAAAGTCATAAATATTTGGTGGTGATATATGATTACCTGAGGCAACAACATTTTTTTTCAGTAAGTTCTGTTGATTGGGTATGTGTGTTCGTGTGTGGGGTGTTCATGAGCAAAGACGCAGTCATGTGGAGGTGGATATATACATACCTCCGTGTGCTTTGGGAAGTAGATATTCTTGCTTGCATTGTTGATATTTTAATAAGCTCTTTTGATTTTGTCCAAATCAATTTCCCATATAATTACCATATGAAGTAAAGTAAACTCTGCTACCCTAGGCCCTCAAAGTATTTAATAATTGACTGAATATATCGAAAGCAGTCATGTTGTTGAAGAGAGATTCATTATTTTAGTGTTCTGACTTCTTTAATTACTTGACTTGAAAAATGAAATCATGCTTAAAACTGTCCTTCTCTTAAGGAGAAATTCTTTATTTGGATCTTCAAGACCTACTTGCCACCACGCCCTAACTTACTGCTTGTAATAGAAATCCTAACTTACCCAGACTTGCTTACTGACTTGCTTCTCTACTTAAATACTGTCTTTGGGCCTGATGGCTGATGTGAAGACCCAGCTTACACCAGCGCCAGCTGTGAGAGTGTGGGGAGAGCAGTGTGATCTGGGAGCTCTCTTCTGCCTTTGCCCCTCGCTGGCTCCCTGCTGGATCTGTAGGCGCACATGAAGGTTGAGGAGTTTCGGTCTTGGGTCTTTTACATTTTGTTCTTTTCTGCAGTGCCTTATTTGACATCCCAACCACTCTTTCCCTTGTATTTCTATAGCATGTATTACCCGTATCATTCCTTTCCACACATATTTGTTTTATAACTGAAATGTGTGTCTCTGCTCCCTCTCTTGAGCCAGACTGTGGGCTCCATTAGTGCAGATTCGCTGGGTTCTATCGCTCGGTTGCGTCCACAGTGCCTGGCTCAGTGCTGCACATGCAGACTCTTAGCCTCCAGTTTTTGAATGAGGGAAAAGAGCATATATTTTGTGATGCATTTCAGAAAATCTTGTATTATAGGTAGCAACAATTGCAGAGACAGATGAATCTGCAGAATCAGAAGGTGTAATTGATTCTCATAAACGTAGAGAAATCCTTTCACGAAGACCCTCTTACAGGTAAGTTAACCAGGTTTCCTACTGTAAAGATACTTTTTCCAAAACGGTAGAATAATTATACATCAAATAAATTCTTCCTTTATAGCTTTTCTGTTTTAAGACTCATTCATATATCTTAGTGACTTACATTGTTAAATTACATTTTAGAAAAATACTGAATGAACTGTCCTCTGATGTGCCTGGTGTTCCCAAGATTGAAGAAGAAAAATCAGAGGAAGAAGGAACACCACCTAACATTGCTACCATGGCAGTACCAACTAGCATATATCAGACTAGCACGGGGCAATACAGTATGTATGCTGCAATTCGATAAGATACAGCGCTAGCTTTAAGTCTTCTCTAGTTATATTGAAGCAACTCAGGTTTTGGCATTAAATTGTTCCATTTTAAAATGCATCATTAATACCTAAACTGTATCATAGAATGAAAGTATATGTTTAAAAGTGAGATATTTGTATTGACCGTTGTCATATAATTTTGAAAAGTAAAAATTTTAACTACTGAATATAGAAAATTTTGGGTAAAAATAAAGGCAGAATTTTTTCCTTTTTACATGTTTATATTAATCTCAGTAAAACATTGTTTTTGTTGTCTTTATGATGCATGCAAACATAAATGTCTGTATTTCATTCTTGTTGGCTTTTGTTACCAGCAAGTACATATTTTACTTACTAACCTAAGAGTTTTCTAAAGAATGTTTTCAATGTAATTCTGTTTTCACTACTCTCTACTCTGTTAATTTGTGCTACAGTTTTTCCTAAAAGAGAATGGAAAAATGATTTAATTTTTTAAACTGTAGCAATTGGATAGATAATTTTATTTGAAATTTTACGCACCAAAAGCTCTAAATAAACAGATACATTTACATTCAGTCTTGTGCATTTTAATGGACTATTCTGTGCTTTTTGCTCTGATTAAAGCACTAGTTCTTGTCCTAAATCAAGAATGTTTGATACATAAAAATAGTAGAAAACAAGAGCTAGAAATAAAAGAAAAAGGAGGAGAAAGGATAGGGATATCACATATCCTAAGCCAGCTGCTTCGTTACTGGAATAATGTGATATTCCTGTCTTTTCTGAAGTATAAATTGTCCCTGGAAATTGTCCACATCAATTTCCCATGTAATTATAATATGAAATAAAAGAAGTTTTGTAAACTCTGCTACCCTAGGCTCTCGAAGTAAAATGACTGAATATATTGACAGCAGTCATGTTGTTGAAGAGATTCATGATTTTAGTTTTCTGACTTTAAAAAGAGCTACTTAGGTACTGGACCGTATGTGATATTAAATAATGTTTTTTTCCAAATAAGGTATTAAGATTTTAGATATATTCTTTGTTTTTCCTTTAAAGAGTAGCAATACCAAGAAAAAAATCTCAAGTCTTAATTTAAGACCTGGCTACTAACCTAAAGATTAAAGCTATAATCTTTAATATATGGGAAGACCTTATATAGTCATGATGTTTTCGGAGCTTTTTAGAGTTCTTCTTGAAGCAGTGGTAGATTTGCAGCAGTAAACTATTAAAGACATCTCTGTTGGTAATTGTGGGAAACTCCTGCCGTGATACCTAGCAGATCTGGGGCATACTGTATTCACAGCTTCTGCTGGGCACCCAGTAGACTTGTCTAAAGTCAGTGTTAGGAAAAGAAAACTCCCCTCATCTGTAAGAAATAGACCTTGAGGTTTACATTGTCATTTTTTAAAATTACTTCTCTCGTTTGCATACTCTTTTGTCTGGCACACTGGGAATCTCTGGTGGGTTTTAAATCTGACTATGCCAGCTGATGAGCCTCCAGTGCAGCGCGCAGATTAGGAGAAGGCTGAGCGCCTCATCCCTCTGCCTCCAGAGGGGCTGGGCAGGGGCTGCTGGGGCCTCTTGGCTGGTCAGCCCTGGCCTTGAGCAGCTCCAACCACTCACCCCAGTGGGCTGTACACATATCATCATGTCCTGCTTGTGTCATGACAGGGAAAAGGTTGGAAGTGACTGCTGAAATGATGCCAAGGCTTCTCAAAGTGTTGGCCACCACTAAGATGCTGTCATCTTAACATTTCTCTGGCATATCCTAATGTTACCTAGGACTTCTGATAGGAGCAGTGATTTACACATTAATAGAGAAGCAGATGCCGTAGGGTTAACTTGTCTAGATTATTAGCTGAAGATTTGAAATTGTGAAAACGTATGGGGTGAAGCTGGAGAGGATGTGGGGAAAGAACGATCTTTGTGCCATTTGTAAACTCAGAGCAAGAAGCTTTATTAAATTCACATCTCAGGTTTTAGTCTTTGAAGTGGGAATAATACTAAATTGCTAAATTCTGGGGTTCCTGTGAAGACAGAGGAGTTAACAGATAAAAGTAGGGGGAAAAGACATTACTATTGGCATGAAACAGAGAAATTAAGTTGGCTGTAGCAGAGTCTCATTCATGTTCATTGAACTTTCCCTCCAGCCAGCCACAGTGCCTTCATTCCCTGTGTCCTTGGTGCCTGCTCACAGCAGGGGGCTGTCATTAAACCTCACTCTGTGTGTCTGTGGGGGGATGGGATGAGCAGAGTCAGGAGTTCTGGTTGAGAACTAGAAAACTGCTTCTTTAGAAATTAGATACTAGGCCAGGGGTGATGGTTCCCACCTATAATCCCAGCACTTTGAGAGGTCTAGGCATGAGGGTTGCTTGAGGCCAGGAATTTGAAACCAGTCTGGGAAATAGAGTGAGACCCTGTCTCTACAAAAGAATTTTAAAAATTAGCAGGGTGTGGTGGCACGCGCTCGTCCCAGCTACTCAGGAGGCTGAGGCAGGAGGATTGCCTGAGCCCAGGAGTTTGAGACTGTAGTGAGTTATGATTGCACCACTGCACTCCAGCCTGGGCAACAGAGTGAGACTCTGTCTCAAAACACACACACACACACACACACACACACACACACACACACACACATCTGTCTATTTGCCACATAGGAAGTCATGGACTATTTCTTACTTTGGTGTCTTAATTTGAGCCTATCCAATATGATCTTAGAAATTATTTTAATGAGAAGTTATAGTTCTGTATGTAGAGTCCGCAGGTAAAAATTGCCATTTATTGGTTCACACAAAGTGAACATCTTTTGTTAAAAATGCATTTTGGGGACATTTAGTGATATTTATGTAGATAATTCTTTCATTTGAGAAGTGAATACTAACTACATTTAAACTTTTTAGAAGACATTTAATTAGAGGATAAACATGTACTTATGCACACAAGTCCACTTTTATTGATCTTATTTCTTATAGAACGAACTTAGCAGATATTAATGCTTTAGTGTTGTACCAGAATGTCTAGAAATGGAAATCTAGAAATGGAAACAATTACCGGCGTCCTTTGGTTTTTAGAATAGAGGAATTTATTTTACTAGAATTTCTGGAGATTTTTGTATTGTTGTCTTCCCTTTCAGCTGTAAATTGTTTTTTTTTAATACTCTTACAACCTTTTATTATAAAAAATTTTTTTTAGGTTTAATTCTTCAGTTTTTATCCATGAATGGCTTTCTCCCAAACTTTGCTTTTATTTCTTTTTTTCAAAGATGAGTATTTTTAATTTGGCATAATGAGTTAGCTGGTATTAAAAAAGAACTAAATGTGTATACAAGCAGTTACATTTTTAGTAGCTGAAAGATATTTGGCAGAAGTTGGCCTTATTATTTTAATAACTATTATCACAAAAACTACGGACTGAAAGTTGGAATCGGCTACTCCCTGGGGAATAGGAAAAATAACATAAAATAGGATTTCACTATTAAAACACCAAGTAAGTGAGCTGTACCTGCACAATCCTCACTGCAAGTATAGATCTTAGTGGTAGGCTTGCTGCATAACAGTTGAGCGATGCTGGACAAAGAGAGTTTTTTATTTCAGGAGCATATATATATCCAAGAGATGGCAGGAAAGAGCCCTAGAATTAATGAAGAGTGGCTGGGCACGCGCCTGTAATCCCAGCACTTTGGGAGACTGAGGCAGGTGGATCACAAGGTCAGGAGATCGAGACCATCCTGGCCAACATGGTCAAACCCTGTCTCTACTAAAATACAAAAAACTAGCCAGGCATGGTGGTGCGTGCCTGTAGTCCCAGCTACTCGGGAGGCTGAGGCAGGAGAATCGCTTGAACTTGGGAGGCGGAGGTTGCAGTGAGCCAAGATCGTGCCACTGCATTGCAGCCTGGCGACAGAACAAGACTCCGTCTCAAAAATAATAATAATAATAAATAATTAGCAAAGAATGTTACTGCATAAGACAGTTAAGATATGCTTTAAATGAGTGAATTTGTAAAAGCAACTGAGGAAATTAAAATGATTGAAATTTCATAATTCATTAAATTTTCTCTTGAAACAAAGGTTTCTTAAATCTCCCATTCTACTATACCCAACCTCTTCCTGTACCAATTAAAGACTATCACCTAAGACTTCAGGTTTTTCTCCTTAAATGTCCCTTGTCTCTGCTTGTTCCTACTGTGTTTTACTAGGAATCTTACTAGAGCTTCTATTAACTCATCTTTCTGAAATTCTTATACGTGAAAGGTAAGTGGGTCAAGCCTAAATGCACCATCTTGAAAAGAAAAATGTGAACTTTGTGAACTGCTTATAAGAATTCCGAATTCTCAGGAGGCTCACGAATAAGCACCAATTCCACTTCTTCATAAAGGGAATTGGAACATAATAGGCTTACACATTCGAGAGTTCATCCAGTTGCAGTTCTTATTCTTAATAGTGACATTGTTTACATTTATCCGAGGTAACTGTTTCAAAATTGCTTAAGGCACTACTTAATGTAACGCTGGCTTTTCAACTGCGGTGTTGCTATTCTTTTTATAGCATGATTTAGTCTTCCTTCTGCTGTATGCACCTCTTGGCTTTTAAGGTACAGGTACTCATAGGTACTCTCTTATGGTCACTCTGAATTTAAACCTGAGAATTCATTGGAACAAAGGTCTGGCTGCTGTTGTTTTTAAAGTTAACGCAGTGAGATTTCATTTATGAATCTTTGGATTGCAATTTGGAACAAGAGTGGTTTTAAATATAAACATTTACATGTTTATGTATTCTAATTAGCTTATGAGTGTAAGTTTAGGATTAGAAGTATATAACATCAGCTGGGTATGATGGCTCACACCTGTAATCCCAGCACTTTGGGAGGCCGAGGCAGGGGATCACCTGAGGTCAGGAGTTTGAGACCAGCCTGGCCAACATGGTAAAATCCCGTCTCTACTAAAAATACAGAATTAGCTGGGTGTGGTGGTGCATGCTTGTAATCCCAGCTACTCAGGAGTCTGAGGCAGGAGAATCACTTGAACCCAGCAGGTGGAGGTTGCGTTGAGCCAAGACCACACCATTGCACTTCAGTCTGGGTGAGAAGAGTGAAACTCAGTCTCTAAATAAATAAATAAGAAGTATACAACAACATCGCCAGGCTTAGTGGTTTGTGCCTGTAGTCCCAGCTACTGAGGCATCTGAAGCAGAAGGATTGCTTGAGCCTAGCAGTTTAAGACTAGCCTGAACAACATAGCAAGACCGCATCTCTTAAATACATAAGTAAAAGCATCAAGTGAAAAGAGAGTTCAGATGAAATTTTATATAATTTCTATTTCCACATTGTCGTGGACTCTTTTTTCCATTTTCCACCTTTTACATTTTAAAAAAATTTATTTTGTAAATAATTTTTAGACTTAATTTTTGTATTTTTTTGTAGAGACAGAGGTCTTGCCATGTTGCCCAGGCTGGTCTTGAACTCCCGGACTCAAGCAATCCTCCTGCCTTGGCCCTTCAAAGTGCTGGGATTACAGGCATGAGCCACCAGGCTGGGCCCTTTCTGCCCTTAAAAAATTCATCTTTCTTGTTTTTATCCATTACACAGGATCATTTTTTAAAAATGATCAACCAGACTTGATGCCTGGGATTTGTTTTGAAATACTACAGAGACATATATATATACACACTTTTTTTTTTTTTTTAAATTGAGACAGGGTCCGGCTCTGTCTCCTAAGCTGGAGTACAGTGGTGTAATCACAACTTACTATAGCCTCAGACTCCAGGGTTTAAGTGATCCTCCCAACTTACCCTCCCAAGGAACTGAGACCACAGGCACATGCCACCATGCCCAGCTTCCAAATAATTTTTTTTAAAAGGCCGGGGGTGGGGGCAGGGTGAGTGGGCAGGGTAAATGGATGACAAAAAATTCTCTCTACTTTCGTGTTTGCCAGAAAATTTCTATACGTTCAAGAAAAAAAAAAAAAAAACATAATTAGCTAAAATAGAAGATGTGTCTAAATTCATTCAGTTAATTTCATCTTATTTTTTCTCACTATTGATTTATGTTTACTGAAAGCACATGTTATGCTATCCTTGATTATTTTGAAACCTAAACAGTTTTCTCCTCAAATCTCTGAATACAAACAGGCCCACATGAAACCTATTTCCAGGATCCTGAGGCATTGGGAAATCTTTTCTATTTTCAAATGAGAGAGAACATTTTCAGTGGGAAGGTCCTCTGTCATTTGATAACAAAATCAAGAGCACCTTTGGTATAAAAAATGAAAATGAGGCTAATTTGCCTGATTTACCAGTAGAAATGTTTTCTCCCTAGCACCAATGTGTGAGGCGTGTGTGTGTGTGTGTGTGTGTGTGTGTGTGTGTTTAGCTTTTGTTTTCCACATCTAATTATATAATGACGTCACCAGAAAATAAAATGAGAGAAACAGATTCTTGATGTGTCAGCTGTTCATAGTGTGAAAACAAAGTTGTTTTGATCAGAACTATGGGGAAACATTACTGAAAAGAAAAAAGGAAATGAGAAAAGCAAAAAGAAAGAGGAGAAAAAAGTAAAGATCTTTGTTATCTATGTATTTAGGGATTCTTACCTTTAGAGGCAGCTACTCTCACCTCAGATTAACTCAATCGTTATTTAAAAGCTTGATAATTTTATTGGTGTTGAAAAATTAGATTCTATGATTGGAATTTGAAACCATACCTCATTTAACTCTCCTGGATTCACAGGCAGCTTAAGTTGTTTATGATATCATCTGTCATGAGAAAATGATAGCCACTCATTCATTTATTCATTCAGTTTATTGAATGTCTGCTCTTTTCTAGGCTTTGTGCTTCACATTGTGCAAGAAAGCCACACATTGTGGCTACCCTACCTTAGGCTGTTCGTTCTCAAGCAGTATTTCTATGACATCAAACTAATTATCAACTGAAAAATAAACATTCAAATATATGACAACATAGAAAATTTACTCATGTCTAGCCACAAAGGGCCAAGAAATCAGTGTCTCTTGACATTTTCATACTCATAAGAGATAAGTTAGATGAGGGCTGAATCCTGAGACCCGTGAAATCTTTGGAAAGCCGTAGTTTTAAAGTACTCTGTTTTTAAAGTGTGTACAGAAAATACTGTTCTAGATGAGCCAGATAAAGTGCTGTTACATCAGGGTGTCTCAGCCTCAGCTCTGTTGACATTCTGTAACTGACTCTGCAGTTTCTGCCAGCCACACTGGCCTGTCAGTGAACTAAAACACTAAGAACGCAGTGTGTGGAAATCTTTTAAAAATGTCAGTCTGTCTTCCTCTGTAGACACTGGCACTTAGGTCAAAGAAGTGAAAATTTGTTACTCATTCTATAGTTCTGATAGGTTTGTCCTATCAGGTTATCACTTAAGTACCTTTTTGCCTAGATGTCATTAGAACCGTTTGGAAATGACTTGAAAATATCCAGAGTATATTTTAACACTGCTGTTACGCTATTGTAAGTTATTTACATTGATGTATAGATGTCATGTTATTTTGGTGATGTTTTTAAAATCTTCATTGTAAAGTCTAGTTAGCTAGTTTATATGTGCATTTTTTTTTAAAGCATAGCTTCTGGTACCATTTAATATCGACCGTTTAAAGCATGCAGTTGGAATCTTTATGTTAAAATATGCAGACCTTTCAGATGTTTTAAACAGCGCTTATTTGTCTATTAGAGTGAAATTTTGAAACAAAACATTTGATCAGTTATTCTTTGGAAGATTTAAGTCAATTAATATGTTAACCGTTAAACATGACTGGCAAATCTTAGTGTTATAAAGGAAATCTACCTCGTATTTGTTGCCATTAGCTGTAGTTATTTCAGGTACAATGGTAGAGGTAAATACTATAGCACATATTACTACAGTTACTTTTTAAGGACCTTTCCAACTTAACTTTTTATATTTCAGGATTCTCCTGACATAGACAAAATGACAAAGGTTACAGTTGTCTAGGCTTGAACTTTATAACCAAAATATGTTATATATCTATGTGTGTGTACATGTATATATAAAATTTTTTTTTTTTTTTGAGACAGTCTCTCTCTCGGTCGCCCAGGCTGGAATGCAGTGGCGTGATCTTGGCTCACTGCAACCTCCGCCTCCTGGGTTCTCTTGTCTCAGCCTCCTGAGTAACTGGGACTATGGTTGCCCACCACCACACCCAGCTAATTTTTGTGTTTTTAGTAGAGACGAGGTTTCACCATATTGGTCAGGCTGGTCTCGAACTCCGGACCTCAGGTGCTCTGCCCACCTCAGCCTCCCAAAGTGCTGGGATTACCAGCATGAGCCACTGTGCCCAGCCTACATATTTCTTAAAAACTACTTTCTTTTGATGATAAATTAGAAAAGTAGTTAGTTGAATGAAGGTACAAATTCATTTTAATTGCAATATTAGATGGGAATTTCTTTCTTTTCTTTTTTCTTCTTCTTTTTTTTAAAGATAGTTGCCCAGGCTGGCCTGAAACTCCTGGAGTCAGGTGACCCTCCTGCCTTGGCCTCCCAGAGTGCTGGGAGCACAGGCATGAGCCACCACACGTGGCCTTAAATGGACATTTTAAGTGGTGAAAGAATGGTGTTTGTAAGGAAAAACATCTGAGAGAATGGAAAAAACCAGGAAGCTGGACTTCCCTTTGTGCTTCCCCACTCCTCTTCAGTACGTAGTTAGATGCATGCCAAAGAGAAGAAACACTCCATGGGCTCCATGAATCTCAAGTGGTTCTGAATATAAACTATTTTCAGGTGTTTATATGCTTTTTCTAGAGTATTATCCCATGAAGAAGCTGTTCTTCCTTCCCAGTACAGCATAGAAAATAAGGGTGACCTGAGAAAGAAGCAATGGCAATAAATAGACCCAGAGTATATTCTTCCAATATGGGATTATTAAAAATAAATCTTGAAATTCTCTAATATTTCTTTTCTTTTTCTGTTAAGTTGCTATAGCCCAAGGTGGAACAATCCAGATTTCTAACCCAGGATCTGATGGTGTTCAGGGACTGCAGGCATTAACAATGACAAATTCAGGAGCTCCTCCACCAGGTGCTACAATTGTACAGTATGCAGCACAATCAGCTGATGGCACACAGCAGTTCTTTGTCCCAGGCAGCCAGGTTGTTGTTCAAGGTATTTTTTATTAATCTAATACATTTAGAATACCTATGGATTACTATATGGTACCACTGAGTTTTCTGAAATATATCACAGGTAGATGGTGGGGGGTTGGGAGGCACTTAAGGCTTACAGAAGAAATATTTGAATACATTAAATAGTATATTAAATAAGTTATGTCATTTTTCACTTTTTAGCAGGTTTTTTTTTTTTTTCTTTGAGATGGAATCTAGCTCTGTTGCCCAGGCTGGAATGCAGTGGCATGATGCCGGCTCACTGCAACCTCCGCCTCCTGAGTTCAAGCAATTCTCCTCCTCAGCCTCCTGAGTAGCTGAGATTACAGGTGACCGCCATCATGCCCAGTTAATTTTTGTATTTTTAGTAGAGGTAGGGTTTCACTGTGTTGGCCAGGTTGGTCTTGAACTCCTGACCTCATGATCTGCTCACTTCGGCCTCCCAAAGTGCTGGGATTACAAGTGTGAGCCGCTGTGCCCAGCCTTTTTAGCAGGTTTTTCTGGCTCTGGAGAAAGGTCAAATTCAGAGTACCATGGTAGAAAAAGAACTAGAAACATGAATGAATTTGTAAATTAAGTCAATATCCTTCATTTGGGGGTTGCAAATGCTATACCTAATAGATTTCTATTACTAAGTCTGTGACAATTTAAGTATTCAGGCTATGATGCCCCAAATTTGGGTGTGTCCCCAGCTATTACTTGCAAGTCTAATTTTGAGGCAACTCATTTCAGAACAAAGGCCGTTTTTTTTTTTGTTTTTTTTTTTTTTAAGACTGTTCTTAGTATGTTTGAATTCTGAGGTATCCATTCTAGCTCTTATGGAAGCTGTCAGTAGTAACATAAAAGTTGAGATGTAGCCCTAAGCTTTTAGGGTTATTCAAGATTTCAACTGGATTTGCATTATACATTATTTTAATTTCAATTCAGTTGTGCTTATGATAACTATAATAGATGTCTTTAATACACCTTTTGAAACTCCTGTGTTTTAATTTAATTCTATCTCTCTTGGTCCATTCGCTTAGGATTCAGGATATAGCAGTGATTTTAAGGAAAGTAAAATCAGTTCTTTTAGTTAGAAAGTCTTGCAAGTGGCCGGGCGCGGTGGCTCACGCCTATAATTCCAGCACCTTGGGAGGTCGAGGCAGGTGGATCACGAGGTCAAGAGATCAAGACCATCCTGGTCAACATGGTGAAACCCCGTCTCTACTAAAACTACAAAAAATTAGCTGGGC